CCAAAGCAGCGAATACAGTTGCGGTGCCCGTTATGCGAAATATCGAGGTAATTTATTTTTATTCGAAAAGCTGTTTTAATTTTTGGTGTAGGTGTATGCATAGATTCATGGCTAGCCCGCCGTCAGTATGGCAACTTTTCGAATTTTTTGTTCCGAGGAGATTTCGAGCTGAAAAGCAGCCATGAATTCTCACCAGAACAAAAGATCCGGGACGCTGCCATGCATTATCCATTTGGTAACAGTGGATGGGTGAAGAGAATGAGAGTAAAAAGAGGGAGGGGAGAGGGAGTGGGGGGAAGGAATACACCTGTTTGCTTTACTCCTTAGTACACCGAACATTTTCAGACTTATGCGCATTTTCAGGCGGGCGCGAGACAAAATCTCGATGAAATTTCCAGCAGTGATCGGAAAGCTGCTGATGACGAGATGTGTGAGGGTTCGTTTCATATATAGCCAAACAAAAAATGTACCTGGAGTAGACAGTTCAATATAACGGTTTTTAGGCAGAGGATAGATTTGTATGTGCCAAAAGTGGATTGATTTCTATGTACCGTGGAATAATTTTCCCGTATCCGTTTTTTTTACAGAAGCCACAGTCGCTTTGCGGAAATACCGAGAAGAACTGGCGCGGCCGGCCTGTGCTGGACACAATACGTTGATCGGCGCGCCAAAGGAACCGGCAAAACTGTTGTAGCCGCCGCGAAGCAGCACCTCCGTTTGGGCAGAAAAAACAGTTCGCGCGCAAAAGTTTGAATTTTAAAAATTTTTTTTTGCTGGAAGGGGGGGTGGTAGAATTAGCAAAAGTTGTAAAATCTTGTAAGATATTTTATAATGTTCATCTCATTTTATAATGTTCGCCTCATAAACCTCCTATTCATCTCATATTTCGTCGTCGTCTTAGCACTTCGGCAGCATAGTTCCGCTTGCATTAGACAGATATAGCTTTTTCTTTGTATTTTGTATTGCCTGTCTTTTTATAGCCTTTGATTTGGAAAAAAAAATTTGTTTGGATAATTATGC